TTGTTGTGTGTGTGTTGTTGTGTGTGTGTTGTTGTGTGTGTGTGTGTGTGTGTGTGTGTGTGTGTGTGTTGTTGTGTGTGTTGTGTGTTGTGTGTGTGTGTGTGTGTGTTGTGTGTGTGTTGTGTGTGTGTTGTGTGTTGTTGTGTGTGTGTTGTGTGTGTGTGTGTGTGTTGTGTGTGTTGTGTTGTGTTGTGTGTGTGTGTGTTGTTGTGTGTGTTGTGTGTGTTGTGTGTTGTTGTGTGTGTTGTGTGTGTTGTTGTGTGTGTGTGTGTGTTGTGTGTGTTGTTGTGTGTGTTGTGTCCGTGTGTTGTTGTGTGTGTTGTGTGTGTGTGTTGTTGTGTGTGTGTTCTGTTGTGTGTGTGTGTTGTTGTGTTGTTGTGTTGTTGTGTGTGTGTTGTTGTGTTGTTGTGTGTGTGTTGTTGTTGTGTGTTGTTGTTTGTGTGTCCTGTTGTGTGTGTGTGTTGTGTGTGTGTGTGTGTTGTGTTGTTGTGTGTGTGTGTTGTGTGTGTGTTGTTGTGTGTGTTGTGTGTTGTGTGTGTGTTGTTGTGTGTGTTGTTGTGTGTGTGTGTTGTGTGTGTGTTGTTGTGTTGTCGTGTTGTCCTGTTGTGTGTGTGTTGTTGTGTGTTGTTGTGTTGTGTGTGTGTGTGTGTGTTGTGTGTGTGTGTGTGTGTTGTTGTTGTTGTTGTGTGTGTGTTGTTGTGTTGTGTTGTGTGTGTTGTGTGTGTTGTTGTGTGTGTTGTTGTGTGTTGTTGTGTGTGTGTGTTGTTGTGTGTGTGTGTGTTGTTGTGCGTCCTGTTTGTGTGTGTGTTGTGTGTGTGTTGTGTTGTGTGTGTGTGTTGTTGTGTGTGTGTGTGTGTGTGTGTTGTGTGTTGTTGTGTCCTGTTGTCCGTGTGTGTTGTTGTGTGTGTGTTGTGTGTTGTGTGTGTTGTGTGTGTTGTTGTGTGTGTTGTTGTTGTGTGTTGTTGCAGGTGTGTGTGTGTTGTTGTGTGTGTGTTGTTGTGCGTCCTGTTGTGTGTGTGTTGTGTGTGTGTGTGTGTTGTGTGTGTGTGTTGTTGTGTGTGTGTGTGTTGTGTTGTGTGTGTTGTTGTGTGTGTGTTGTTGTGTGTGTGTGTGTTGTGTGTGTGTTGTTGTGTGTGTGTTGTTGTGTGTGTTGTTGTGCGTCCTGTTGTGTGTGTAGTTGTGCGTCGTCTCACCCCACAGCGCCGCACACAGGATCTCGGAGTTGAACCTCTTCTTGTACTTCCTGATCTCGGGCGTGTCGCTCTGGGGTCGCGTGTTCACCGGGTTCACGTTCACCACGGAGCCTTTCCTGGAGGCGTCGGCGCGAAGAGCCTCCGCCAGACGAGCGTCGTTGGCGTTGGCGTAGCCTAAGACGTCAAAGGGAAGGGCTTAAGGGGGGCACGGGGGGCGGGCACGGGCGGGCACGGGCGGGCACGGCGGGCAGGACGGGGTCAAACGGGCAAAATTAGAATCATGCAGAAAATCAAAAGTACAAAAATAAAACAGCGTAAATAATAAAAGAAGCACAAAACTGAAATAAATCACTGAAATCCTGAGACTTTTCTGGTGATTTTTCTCACTGGGGAAGCAACGATAATCGATAAAATATTAAACCGTTACCGATACTGGAGTCACGATTCGATATTTGTGTTTGGTCGATGCACGTGTCGCTCCATGTCTATGTGAAAAACTAAAACATCCTTAAAATAATGAAATAAAACATCCATAAAATATCTGTAAAACATCCATAAAATATCCGTAAAATATCCATAAAATAATTAAATAAAACGCCCATAAAACATCTGTAAAATATCTGTAAAACTTCCTAAAATAATGAAATACAACGCCCGTAAATTATCCGCAAAATATCTGTAAAATATCTGTAAAAAATCTGTAAAATATCTGTAAAAACTCTGTAAAATATCTGTAAAACATCCTTAAGTAATGAAATAAAACATCCGTAAAACAACCATAAAATAATGAAATAAAACGGCAGTAAAACATCCATAAAATATCTGTAAATTATCCGTAAAACATCTTAAAATAATGAAAAAAAAATGCCCCTAAAACAACCATAAAACATCCGTAAAATATCTGTAAAACATCCTAAAATAATGAAATAAAACATCTGTAAAAATCCATAAAATATCAATAAAATAATTAAATAAAACGCCCATAAAACATCCGTAAAATATCTGTAAAACATCCTAAAATAATGAAATAAAACGCCCATAAAATATCCGTAAAATATCCTAAAATAATGAAATAAAACGTCCGTAAAATATCCGCAAAACATCTGTAAAATATCTGTAAAAAATCTGTAAAATATCTGTAAAACATCTGTAAAATATCTGTAAAAAATCTGTAAAATATCTGTAAAACATCTGTAAAATATCTGTAAAACATCCTAAAAATAATGAAATAAAACATCTGTAAAACATCCTCAAAATATCCATAAAATAATTAAATAAAACGCCCATAAAACATCCGTAAAATATCTGTAAAACATCCTAAAATAATGAAATAAAACGCTTGTAAAATATTCGTAAAATATCCTAAAATAATGAAATAAAACGTCCGTAAAATATCCGCAAAACATCTGTAAAATATCTGTAAAAAATCTGTAAAATATCTGTAAAAAATCTGTAAAATATCTGTAAAACATCCTTAAGTAATGAAATAAAACATCCATAAAACAACCATAAAATAATGAAATAAAACGGCAGTAAAACATCCATAAAATATCTGTAAATTATCCGTAAAACATCCTAAAATAATGAAATAAAAACGCCCGTAAAACAACCATAAAACATCCGTAAAATATCTGTAAAACATCCTAAAATAATGAAATAAAACGTCCGTAAAATATCCGCAAAACTTCTGTAAAAAATCTGTAAAATATCTGTAAAAAATCTGTAAAATATCTGTAAAACATTCTTAAGTAATGAAATAAAACATCTGTAAAACCACCATAAAAAAAATGAAATAAAACGGCAGTAAAACATCCATAAAATATCTGTAAATTATCCGTAAAACATCCTAAAATAATGAAAAAAAAACACCCGTAAAACAACCATAAAACATCCGTAAAATATCTGTAAAACATCCTAAAATAATGAAATAAAACGCCCGTAAAATATCCGTAAAATATCCTAAAATAATGAAATAAAACGTCTGTAAAATATCCGCAAAACATCTGTAAAATATCTGTAAAAAATCTGTAAAATATCTGTAAAACATCCTTAAGTAATGAAATAAAACATCTGTAAAACAACCATAAAATAATGAAATAAAACGGCAGTAAAACATCCATAAAAATCTGTAAATTATCCATAAAACATCCTAAAATAATGGAAAAAAAAACGCCCGTAAAACAACCATAAAACATCCGTAAAATATCTGTAAAACATCCTAAAATATCCATAAAATAATTAAATAAAACGCCCATAAAACATCCGTAAAATATCCGTAAAACATCCTAAAATAATGAAATAAAACGCCCGTAAAATATCCGCAAAACATCTGTAAAATATCTGTAAAACATCTGTAAAATATCTGTAAAACATCCTTAAGTAATGAAATAAAACATCTGTAAAACAACCATAAAATAATGAAATACAACGCCCGTAAAATATCCGTAAAATATCCTAAAATAATGAAATAAAACGTCCGTAAAATATCCGCAAAACATCTGTAAAATATCTGTAAAACATCTGTAAAATATCTGTAAAACATCTGTAAAATATCTGTAAAACATCTGTAAAATATCCGCAAAACATCTGTAAAATATCTGTAAAACATCCTTAAGTTTTTATATTTTACTCAACAGAAAATCTTAAAATCGTATCGAAATCAAATCGATATCGTGACTCGTGTATCGGGATACGTATCGAATCTTGGGAAAACCGTATCGTTGCGTCCCTAGTTGTCACCATGGCGATAGAACCAGTGCTCTGTCTAGAATGTTCCGCAGTGTGGCATTAAAGGGACACACACACTGAGGCTCTTCACACACACACAAACCTGGAGTTGTGTTTGTTTCATTCACACATTTTTAACACACAAACCTGCACATAATTTAGGAGTTCTTCTCAATAAAACACTCTGTTCCACCTTGTGACGTCATCACGTGGTGATACAGGAAGTGCTCCACTGTGTTTTTAAACTCCACCCGTGTTTAAGGTGTAAATTGTAATTGTCAGGACTTTTACATTTTTCACACTTTTCACACAAAGACGAAGAGTTTAGACTCAACTTTTAACAAGAGAAGAAAAGACAAAAACAAGAACTAAACCACGACTAAATCAGGTCTAAACCAGGACTAAACCAGGACTGAACCAGGACTAAACCAGGGACTAAGCCAGGACAAAATCAGGCCTAAATCAAGACTAAACCAGAACTAAAACAGGTCTAATTTCCAGGACTAATCAAGAACTGAAATGGGACTAAACCAAGACTAAACAAGGACTAAACCAGGACTAAATTAGGTCTAAATTCTGGGACTAATCCAGAAGTAAAACGGGACTAAACCAGGACTAAACCAGGACAAAAATAGGACTAAACCAGATCTAAACCAGGACTAAACCAGGTCTAAATCAGATCTAAACCAGGACTAAACCAGATCTGAACCAGGACTAAATCAGGTCTAATTTCCAGGACTAATCAAGAAATAAAATGGGACTAAACCAAGACTAAATAAGGACTAAACGAGAGCTAAACCAGAACTAAATCAGTTCTAAACCAGGACTAAATTAGGTCTACATTCTGGGACTAATCGAGAACTAAACCGGGACTAAACCAGGACCAAACCGTGGCTCCTGGAATTTCCGTGTGAATGAAACAAAACTCAACTTCACGTCTGTTTTTTTTTTCTGTTTTTTTGTGTGTGGAGGAAACAACATTAAAATAACAAAAACCCGGCATCTGAAAATCACCAAACCAACCAAAAAACAAAAAACAAAAAACAAAAAAAACAGCAAACAAACCCCAAACCGGCAGACGTACCGACGTTGTTGAGCGCGCTGCCTGTGGAGGGCGACACCTGCAGCAGCCGCGGGTCGATGAACGGAGTGAACGAAGAAGACGACTTGTGTTTCTGCATGTTGTGACTTGACTGGCTCTGAGCGGGACACGGCACACGGTGAATACACAACAACACAACAACACAACAACACAACTCAACACAACTCGGGCTGGAGGTGAACAAACAAAATGAACGTCCAACTTAAAAACAGAAAGTTGGCGATGGGTCAAATGAACAGGTGATAAACGAAAGGCGGGATGGTCACACCGGGTCGACTCGCTGCTGCGATTCGAGTCTAAACCTGAGGAAAAGACTCGAGGTTCAGTCGAGTCGTTTTTGAAATATTTATTTATTTATTTTTGTTCTCGCTTTGGTTTTGCTGTTTTACCTTCAAAAGTCGATTGTTTAGGGCGACAAGACGTTAAACTAAGTCTAAACCAGGACTAAACCAGGACTAAACTAAGTCTAAACCAGGACTAAACCAGGACTAAACTTAGTCTAAACCAGGACTAAACTAAGTCTAAACCAGGACTAAACCAGGACTAAACTAAGTCTAAACCAGGACTAAACCAGGACTAAACTAAGTCTAAACCAGGACTAAACCAGGACTAAACTAACTCTAAACCAGGACTAAACTAAGCCTAAACTAAGTCTAAACCAGGTCTAGATGTTGCGAGTCTGGTCGCCCTGAGCTCGTCGTGGTGGTGGTAGTTGTTTGTTGTCGTTTTTGTTGTTTGTTTGTTTGTTTGTTTAGTTCAGGGGTGTCAAACTCATTTTGTTCCGGGGGTCGTGTCCAACCTACTTTGATCCCAAAGGGGCCGGATCAGAAAACTCATGTCATATAAACCCCAAAAATAACAATAAACTCAAATATTTGTGCAGAGAAACACAAATCTATTACAGAAATCTTTTTTAATTGATGAACTCTTTCTTTTACAAAATATTATAATATTATGAACAACCTGAAACTTTAAGAAAAATGCAATTTTTCTTAAATGTTTTAACATTAACTTGTATGCAAATATGAATAAGTCAATTTTTCTTGGAAAATCCTGCACTCGGCTCCACTTTTCAAATTTTTGATATTTTGTGATATGAGGTCAAAACGATCATCCTTTAAGAGCGTTAAGAAAGAGGCAAATCTTAATTTATGCTGCTCTGGTGGGAGGGGCCACTATGCTAAGCACCGCAGAAAATTACCAATATTTTAATAGAAACTATAATTAAAATATTTTAGTAGAAAATCAGCCGAGGGCCAGATTAAAGGTCTTGGAGGGCCGCATCCGGTCCCCGGGCCTTATGTTTGACACCTGTGGTTTAGTTGTTTGTTGAGGTGGTGCAGTTCTGGTCTCCACCAGCAGAGGGCAGTGTTCACACACGTTACACTCTGGCCCCAAACTCAAACAGAACGTTTAAGAAAATCTGTTAAACACTTTTTTTTTTCTCCTTGGAGATGTTATTCATTTTGTCTGAAATGTTCCACAGTATGGCTTTAAACCTTTCTATCTTCAAGGAGACCACCAAACCAGGACTAAACCAGAACTAAACCAGAACTAAACCAGAACTAAACCAGAACTAAACCAGAACTAAAACAGAACTAAACCAGGACTAAACCAGGACTAAACCAGAACTAAACCAGGTCTAAACCAGGTCTAAACCAGGACTAAACCAGAACTAAACCAGGACTAGACCAGGACTAGACCAGGACTAGACCAGGATTAAACCAGGTTTTAACCAGGACTAAACTAAGTCTAAACTAGGACTACATCAGGGCCTAAAACTAAAGGACTAAACCAGGACTAAACCAGGTCTATAACAGGTTTAGGGTCCGTTTGTGTCGGACTTGGCGGATCCAGGACCTACCTCGTGCAGGGTCGTCTTGTCCAGCGGGCTCAGGGGGCTCAGGGGGCTGTGGGGGCTGTGGGGGGGCGTGTGCGGCGGCGTGTGGGGCGGCGTGTGCGGGTGGGTCGGGGGGCGGGGCGGGCCGGCCAGGGGGGGGGGCTGGCCGCTCTGCTGGAGGAGGTCGGGCAGCAGGTGCAGGCGGCTGGGGTCCGGGCGGGCGTGGCCGGGGTGGGGGCGGTGCTGGTGCGGGTGGTGGTGGTGGTGCGGGTGCGGGGGGCCGGGGCGCGGCGTGGGCGGGCCCCGGCGGAGGGCCCTGGTGGTGGGCCGGAGCGCCGCGAGGACGCCCCCCCGCGCTCTGGAAGTACAGAGAGGGGTACAGGGGGGTGGCTCTACCGAAGGAGCGTCTGAGGAGCTCCGGGGACGGGAAGGTGAGAGCTACGGCAGGGCGGGCGCTAACCTGCCGGATCTACCACAGCCACACGGGTTAGTCCAGAGAGAAGAGAGTTAGAGCAGAGTCTGGAACATCCTCAAGAAGCTTTGGCTCAAGGGTTAGTGCCTCACAGCAAGAAGGTCCCAGTCTGATTTGTGGAGTTTGTATGTTCTCCTCGTGTTTAACCGCTTCATCATTTAGTCTCGCCACGTTTACGTCAGAGCTTCATTAATACACATATCTGGAATTTCAGACTTCTGGTCATCGCACAGTTTCACACTGAGAAGGATCCTCAGAAAAGTGAGTTTGTTTTCCCAGTGGGACGTGTCTATTGACAAAGTCGATGTTTTCAAGTCTTTTGAACCATTTCACTTTTGTTTCTGCTTCTGATAAATCCCTGTGTTGTTCGTTTATTCGTTTTTCAATATAAAACCAAAAATAAGAAAACAAAAAAACAACAGTTTTCTTCATTATTTGTCTCCAAAACCAAAATGAGAAAACAGATAATGATTCGTTTTTTTCAGATTTTGTCTTTAAATGAAAAATGGAAAAAAACGGATAACGGCCGTTTCCCGTTTACGTGACTTCAGTGACTGTGATGCTGGACTTTTGCACCACGTACGGACTGAGATCAGGACTGATCCAGGTCCAGGACCAGACCAGGAACGGGACCAGAGCAAGACCAGAGTGGACTCCGAGCTTTGACTCCGAGCTTCAGCTTCGAGCTCCGGCCCTGCCCTGGGCTCTGAGCCTCCAGTCTGGTCCTGGTCTGGTCCCGGACTTGGATCAGTCCTGGTTCAGTTCAGCATCGCAGTCACGGAAGTCATGTAAACGGGAAAAGGTTGTTATCTGTTTTTTCCATTCTTCATTTAAACATGAAATTGAAAACTGAAAAAATAAATCATTATCTGTTTTTTCATTTTGGTTTTGGAGACAAATAATGAAGAAAACTGTTGTTTTTTCATTTTCTTATTTTTGGTTTTATATTAAAAAACGAATGAACGAACGATACACGGATTCTGATATTGTCATGTTTTAGTTTTGGGATTCAGACGTCGTAATCGTGTGGTTGTTGGATCCAAACAGAAAACGACTCCAGAAATGTGTTTGTGAACTTCATAAATGCAAAAGTGAATCAGATGTGTGTGACTCAAACCTCTGTTCAAACTGTTTCTCTTCCCAACGGAATTGAAAAATAGTGAAAGGTGAAGGTGATGGGCAGGATTGATCCACAGGAAGAACCAAAAAGGAAACATTTGTCTGACTAAGAAATCATCCTGAGTTTACAGAGAACATTTTGTATGTGGAGCAACAACAAAACAAAATCCGGTTTGTTAAGTCAGAGGAGGAGAAGACAAACAGACTGAGCTGCACTTTCTTGTTCTTGTGGTTTTACACAAACATCACGTCTTGGTCTTTGCAGTGGAAGGTGTTTCTTGGTGAACAGTTGGAGACTTTCACTTTGGTGTCGACTTTTTAAATTCATAACCGAGGTTGAGCGAGATTTTGTTTTGTCGTGGCTCCACATACAAAATGTTCTCTGTAAACTCGGGATGATTTAGTCAGACAAATGTTTCCTTTTTGGTTCTTCCTGTGGATCAATCCTGCCCATCACCTTCACCTTTCACTATTTTTCAATTCCGTTGGGAAGAGAAACAGTTTGAACGGAGGTTTGAGTCACACACATCTGATTCACTTTTGCATTTATGAAGTTCACAAACACATTTCTCGAGTTGTTTTCCGCTGTTTGGATCCAACAACCACAACAATTAACGATGTCTGAATCCCAAAACTAAAATATGACAATATCAGAACCAGAAACAAAAGTGAAATGGTTCAAAAGACTTGAAAAGATCGACTTTGACAATAGACACGTCCCACTGGGAAAACAAACATGGAGGTTTGATGATCCTTCCCAGTGTGAATTGCATGATGACTGAAAGTCCAAAATTCAGGATGCATGTTTTCCAAATAAAAATGAATTCCGCTTTAAAAAGACCATGTAAACACTTGACTTAATTCCGAAGTAAGTGGGTGATTTATTCCCATTTTAAAGCCAAATTCATTTATTCCTCGGTCACGTAAACGTTTTTAGCCACTGGAGAGAACAAGCAAACTCCACGGAAAAGAACCCCACACCATCTGAGAACTGAACCCGAGCTGGAGTCTTGTGTTGTGCCGCCGGGCAAACGAGTCACAGCAAACTGAATGAACCCTGTTTTATTTGTTATTTGTTAGTTGTTAATTGTGCTCCTGTTTTAGTTTAGTTTATTTTATTTTATTTTATTCAGCAGCTTCAAGCGAAAGAAAAACAAAAGGGAATGAAGAAAACATGAAGAAAACATGAAGAAGAACATGTGGAGAACTCAAAGGGGATGCATGAGGGACAAACGGTTCAGTCTGGTCTGGTCTGGTCTGGGTCCGTTTGGTCGGGTTCAGTACGGTTTCGTTTGGTAGGATTTGGTCCAGTTGCGTGTGGTTGGTTCTGATTGTGTCTGGTCTGGTCCGGTTGAGTTTGTTTGAGTCTCGTCTGGTTCGGTTGTGTCCAGTCTGGTCCGGTCTGGTCCGGTCTGGTCTGGTCTGGTCCGGTCTGGTCTGGTCCGGTCTGGTCCGGTCTGGTCCGGTCTGGTCCTGGTCCTGGTCCTGGTCCGGTCTGGTCCGGTCTGGTCCGGTCTGGTCCGGTCTGGTCCGGTCTGGTCCGGTCTGGTCTGGTCCGGTCGTCTGGTCCGGTCTGGTCTGGTCCGGTCTGGTCCGGTCCGGTCTGGTCCGGTCTGGTCCGGTCTGGTCTGGTCTGGTCTGGTCCGGTCTGGTCCGGTCTGGTCCGGTCTGGTCCGGTCCGGTCCGGTCTGGTCCGGTCTGGTCTGGTCCTGGTCCGGTCCGGTCTGGTCCGGTCTGGTCCGGTCTGGTCCGGTCTGGTCCGGTCCGGTCTGGTCCGGTCTGTACCTGGCGGACGATCAGGGTGCTGTCTTTACAGGGGGTGGATCCTGCGTCGCTCTCGCCTTCGTCTCGTACGACCATGGTCTTGGCGGACGGAGCTTCTCCGTTACTCAACCTGAAGAAGGAAAAGAGCCGAGAGGATTTTCACTCGTGTTCACATGTTGATGAAACGTTGTGACGCAGCGGCCGGCGTCGCCCCGACATCCACCGACCGCTGCGTCTTTCTCTGGCCCGAGCGCCTTCGCTGACAGACCAACCCCCGTTTCTGAGGAACCAAACTCCGGTTGACTGTATTTATGTGTTTAAATGTATTTAAATTCAATGATTTTGCCGCACCTAAATTATTGCGTTACTACTTGGACTGTGACAAACAAAACTACTCTTAAATGAGCTGAAACTATATATAAAAAATCACTTAAAGTATTAGACAAAAAGCCCACAAATTATCACTGTTGTAGAAAACTTGACAAATACAAATTCTTAAATTGGGACAACACAATCAAATATGCAGATTTAATTCTGGTTTACAAAGTTTTTAATCATCTCGCTCCACCTCGTCTAAAGGAGTTTGTGAAAAGAAATTCAAATCACACAACAAGAGCAGCTCCAGAGGCGACGCTCTGGGCCGTTTAGGAAAAATACCTTTGGACAAATCTCTTTTTCTTATAGATCAGCTCAAACATGAACACAGAGAAACTGCTCATGTACGAGAACTTTCAACACTGCAGCATTTTCTAAAACTTTAAAACACTGGTTATTCAATGGTCAAATATGTCTCCATGTTTAACACATTTATATTTTATTTTATTTTGAAGGGTTGTTGGTTTAACTCTTGACTTAATTCTTAAACTTCTGACTTTAAACTTCAAATGAACTCTTTGAAACTAATTGTGTGTATAGTGTGTGTGTTGTGTGTATAGTGTGTGTGTTGTGTGTATAGTGTGTGTGTTGTGTGTATAGTGTGTGTGTTGTGTGTATAGTGTGTGTGTTGTGTGTATAGTGTGTGTGTTGTGTGTATGTGGTAGGGTTAGGGTTAGGGACGTCACATGACCGCGGACTCAACCGCTGCTGTTCATTTGTGTGTTTATATTGTTTTGATTATTGTGAGTTACAGTTTTTGCCTGTGTTCATCCTTAAAACTCTGTGTTCAGCCCGGGGGGAGGGGCTAAGGGGTATTTAAGGTGGAGCTCTGTTCATTTTGTCGTTTGTCCTTGGCCTGACGATGTGGACGCTGCTGTAAATACTTTTGACTTACTTCTGTGTTTCTTCTGCTCAGTGAATAATGTCTGTGAAGTGATGCTGTATTTTTTGACAGTCGAGTCGCGTCTGTGAATTCGTGTTCGTGTAATCGTACATTTTCATTTGGTGATTGTAATTCTTGAGGTTGTTACTTTTCAATTCGTATTCTGATGGATAAAATACACACAACACATTTTATGTACGACTGACCTCATTCGAAAGTTTACAAATATTCATTTTATGCTCAACTACAGACAAATATGCACATGAATATTTCTGAAAGCTTTCTTACTCCAGCTCATATTGTAAAAATAAAAAAAAGAATCCCTACAAAAACCCGATCTTTGTGAAATCTGGATGCTCTGTCAGCTGAACACGGGCAGTTTGAATTCACAAAAATGCATTCTGTTCTACGGGAGATTTCTTTCTGGGCTGGAGCTCCCGGAGCTGCAGTACTTATAAGTTTAAAAGTCATAATTATAAGTGTAAAAGTCATAATTATGAGTTTAAAAGTCATAATTATAAGTTTAAAAGTCATAATTATGAGTTTAAAAGTCATAATTATGAGTTTAAAAGTCATAATTATGAGTTTAAAAGTCATAATTTTAAGTTTAAAAGTCATAATCATACGTTTAAAAGTCATAATTATGAGTTTAAAAGTCATAATCATGAGTTTAAAATAATAATTGCTGTTTTCTTTCTGGGTTGGAGTTCCCGAAGCTGCAGTACCTGGAGCAGCCACTAGTCTTATCCAGTTCTTATTATAAATCTATATATATAAAGCCTGAAGTTCTGTGTGAAAACTTGAAGACTTACTTTGCTTTGCTGTCCTCGGGCCCAGACGTGGACTCCTCCCCGGCCTCCTGATCCACCTCCTCGTCCTCCTCGTCCTCGCTGGTGTCCGAGTCTTCGCTGGAGGAGGAGTAATCCGTCACTTTGTTTGGAGGACGCACGTCGTCTGCGGCTCTCAGCTCTTTGGCCAGAGCCGTGAGGTCCTGAGGAGGAGAGGCAGACCATCAGAACCACCGGACCCAGCAGAACCACCAGGCCCAGACCCAGCAGAACCACCAGACCCAGCAGAACCACCAGACCCAGCAGAACCACCAGACCCAGCAGAACCACCAGACCCAGCAGAACCACCAGACCCATCATCAGAAGCCGGGAGAGAAGCAGGAGCCAGGGAGCTGCAGGAGGAACCGGTTAGAGGAGCAGCCAATGAGAAGCAGAAGTGCACTCAGGTTCATTAGATCTTCACGTGGAAATTATCGATGAGAAGCGAGTCCCAGGTCCAGACGGTGAAATGTGGACAGGAGACGGGACAAAAGCTCAGCCAGAAGAGACGGTCTGAAGTTTTTTGTTTTTTTTTTAGTTCTGACCCTAAAGCTAAAACTGTGACGGCACCGAAACAGAAGATCCAAGATCACGATAAACGTCTGGAACTGAAACATTGTAATGTAGTAAAGTCTGAGGAAAGTTCAGTCAAGTGTTTTGGTTTCTGGAAAATACGGTTTTAAAAATCTGGTCATGATCTCATATTTTTTTTACATTATACTATTACTACTACTACTTTTTATACTACTACTATTACTACTACTGCCGCTGCTAATTTACTGTATAAGCTAAAAAAAAAAATTGAAATGGCATCTTCATTGTATGGAAGCCCATTTCCGCAAGTACATAAAAAAAAAAAAAAATAGAATAATGACTTTAAAAGTTATAATAACGAGTTTAAAAGTCATAATAACAAGTTTAAAAGTCATAATTATGAGTTAAAAGTCATAATAACAAGTTTAAAAGTCATTATTATGAGTTAAAAGTCATAATAAGAAGTTTAAAAGTCAGACTAATGAGTTTAAGTCATAATAACGAGTTTAAGTCATAATTACAAGTTTAAAAATGATGACTTGTAATTCTGACTTTCTGTGAGGCTTTTATTTTTTATTTACTGGTGGAAATGAGCTTCCGTATTATTGTCATTGTATTTTTGATGAATAAATTGATAAATTGCTTATTTCAGACTGAGAAAACTAAATACTGTGAGCTCTGCGTTTTGTCCGTGTGGATCAAACCGGCTTCACTTTTGCGTTTTTCCCCGTCCACGTTTCGACCGTTTGGCGAGAGGACAAAGCGTGAGGCGTCCGCTTCTGTCAGAGGTTAGTGCGGAAAACAAACTCGCTGTAAATGTGGAAAATCGTTAGTTCGAGTGGAGCAGAGAAGAAGAAGAAGTCGGCACATTCTGTTAGTGAAGACGCCGCAGCCAAAGCACCACACGCTAACCACGCTAACCACGCTAACGCTACGCCAAACAGACTCCAGCGCTAACAGGCTAGCAGCTACGCGCTAGTCCCAGCTAGCCTGAGTCTATCCGGGTCTCACCGCCGCTTTCCCGGGCCGGTGAACGTCCCGGTGAACGTCCCGGTGAACGTCCCGGTGAACGTCCCGGTGAACGTCCCGGTGAACGTCCCGGTGAACGTCCCTCCTCTCCTCGGGCTGTCTCGGGGCGTGCTCGGCTCTCAGGAGGGGAGAGCCGTCGGACTTGGACGAGGCTGAGGAGGTCAAGGGGCAGAGGTCAGAGTGGAAGAAAAAACGTCCGATGCAGCAAGTTTGATTTGTTGGTAAGACACAGTTTGGCCTCTAGTTTGAACGGAGCTGGACACAGGTCAGAATCCACAGGGGGAATTTGCAGTTTAAAGGTTGTATGGAGGATTTTTTTAAGTTTCTAACTGTCAGTAAAAGTTCAAAATAGAGTTACAGACGCAGCACGTTACTGTTGGGTTGTCAATCAAACTCCCAACGTTTCTAGCGTCACTGACTCACGTGGTTTACGTTCGCCTCTGACACATTCCACAGACACGACGCCGTTTACTCGACCGTCACAGCATTTCCATTTTTTATCAAACGTTCCTGCACTCACACTTTTTTTTGTTTCTTGGTCAGAGCAGCGGCACTTCAGGTTTTTTTCCAACATTTCGCCGACACACAAGGGACAATATTTTCACGAACTGGTGGCGCAGGAGGCACAGTGCACGCGGCATAGTTTAGTCCTGATAAATTCTTTTTGAGGTTTAGAGTCCTGATTTTAGTCCTGTTTTAGACCTGGTTAAGACCTGGTTTTAATCTTGATTTCTGTCCTCGTTTAGACCTGGTTTAAACATGGTTTGGACCTGGTTTTAGTCCTGATTTTTGTCCTGATTTAGTCCTGGTTTTAGTTCTGGTTTAGGCACGGTCCATGTGGCGTACAGGATGAAGGAATGTCGGGGTGGGGGGAAATTGGAATAAGGGTTGTACCTCCCCAGCGGTGGCGCAACTGAAGCAGACGAAGGCTCCAAACTGACGCATCGGTCACTAAATTACTTCTGGACACATAACTTCCAAATGCGATTTCAAGTGTAAGGCGGGAGGGGGCGTTTTTACTTTCTACTACTCTAAGGACAAACAGTCGTTGTCTTTAAAAGTCATAATAACAAGTTTAAGAGTCAGAATTATGAGTTTAAAAGTCAGAATTATGAGTTTTAAAGTTATAATTACAAGTTTTAAAGTCATAATAACGAGTTTAAAAGTCAGAATTATGAGTTTAATAGTTATAATAACAAGTTTAAAAGTCATAATTACAAGTTTAAAAGTCAGAATTATGAGTTTAAAAGTCAGAATTATGAGTTTTAAAGTTATAATTACAAGTTTAAAAGTCATAATAACGAGTTTAAAAGTCAGAATTACGAGTTTAATAGTTATAATAACAAGTTTAAAAGTCATAATAACAAGTTTAAAAGTCAGAATTATGAGTTTTAAAGTTATAATTACAAGTTTAAAAGTCATAATAACGAGTTTAAAAGTCAGAATTATGAGTTTAATAGTTATAATAACAAGTTTAAAAGTCATAATAACAAGTTTAAAAGTGTTTAAAAGTCAGAATAACGATTTTAAACGATAACAAACAGTCGCTGTGTTTCTCTTTCTTTGGAAAATCCTCGATACAACCTTTAACTGTGAAAAGCAGATGTTGACCTGGTTTATGATTTAAATCTTTATTTCACACTGTTCTCGTTTCCTCGTCACAAACAGACCTGGAGTTGTGTTTTGTTTCGTTCACATGTTTAACTCACAAATCTGCACATTTAACCTGAGCTCTTCTCTCAAACGTGTTTTTACCCAAACACAACTCCAGCTCCTGTCTGCGATGAGGAAACAGAGGAACAGATGCTTTTGGAGGCTTTAATGTGGATTGTTTGAGTCCACAGGGGGCGCTACAGGGCGTCAGGCGTCTGGACTCACAGCGGAGCCTCGCTCTGTCCCCGGAGCCGCACTGAGAGCCGGGGTGAGAGCTGGAGCTGGACGAGGAGGAGCTAGACCCCCCGCTGCCCGTGTGATTGGTCAGTCTGGAGCTGGGGGACGCGTGATTGGTCGGTTTGGCGGCGGGTTTCTCCACTCGCTCCCACAGCAGCCGAGGCTCCGAGCTGCAGAGAGAGAGACAGAGAGAGAGAGAGAGAGAGAGAGAGAGAGAGAGAGAGAGAGAGAGAGAGAGAGAGAGAGAGAGAGAGAGAGAGAGAGAGAGAGAGAGAGACAGAGAGAGAGAGAGAGAGACCGGTCAGACCAACGGACCAGAACCACACCAGAAATGACCAGTGAGACTACTACTACTACTACTACTACTACTACTACTACTACTACTACTACTACTACTACTACTACAACTCGAGTCCATCCAGAGACAGTAGGTGGAAACAAACTACTCCAGACTAATTTGTGGTGAGTGAAGACGAGAGGTGAAACTTGAACTGTGGCCAAACGAGCTCCAAGTAACAGTGGAGCGACCAGAGGAACCAGAACTGATTTAATGAGGCACTCGCCGTTTCCCTGAACCCGCCGTGTGAACTTAAATCTGCAAAGCTTCATCTGTGAGACGAGTATCTGCTACCGGCAGGTCCACCAGGTCGACCTGTGTGCGCACACCGGGCTGGTGGGCCGCGGCTCGGTTAAAGGGAGTGAAGGGGGCTGGGGTTGGGTCCAGACTGCGGCTGACGGTTCATAGGTTTGTGAGTCTGAGCCGTGGAGGCTTTAAGGTCGGTTTGAGAAACCGTGTTTGACAAAGGCCTCTGCTCGGAGAGACACGGACCTGCTCATGGAGGCCGTTCCCTGCAGAAAGGCTCAAACCCGCTGTGAGCAGGAGCCTTGGATATATGTCATTTGGACCAACTTTGGTTTGCAGGTGTGTAAGGATCACACTGGAGTCTATGTGCTACAGAAGAACTATTTTACTGCCTGGTGCAAACCAAATAATCCAAAACTGTCAAAACTATAACAAAACACTGTTTAAATCCAGGCTCAAAACATTTCTGTTTGACTGTGTGTACGACTGAAAGGTTTTCATTCTGCACTCTTCTCTCTAATTTATGTCTCTCTTTTTAAATTTTATTCTGTCATGGTTCATGTTTTGTAGTGGTTGTAGTTTGTGTTTTATTTTGACATTTGTCCTGTCACCTTGTATTTTTGAGTGTTACTTCCTGTCTTGATTGTTTGCCCCGCCCTAATGTGTTTCACCTGTGTCTATGTGTGTGCATTTATACGCTGTGTTCTCCTCTGCCCTTGGTTGGTCCATTGTCTCTGTGCCTCTTGTCATGGCAATTTAGTCTTCAGTTTTGGATTTTTTGATTTGTCATTAAATATTTTTGAAGCAGTCCTGCGTTTTGGGTCCTGCCTCTGTTTCCACGTGACATATTCTTTATGATTATTTATGTTTTGATTTGTTTTTATTATGATTTTAATGTATTTCTTATTCTGTAAAACACTTTGAATGACTTTGTGTACGAATTGTGCTGTACAAATAAACTTGCTTTGCCAAAATGACCCACGTCCTTTTTAAACGTTCTTCTTTTATAAGTGTCTTCACCTTTCACACACAGGTGAGTGGGAGGAGCTTACCTGGCCGCGGTCCTCTGTCCCGGTTGGCCGCTGTGAGGGGCGTTGCCGTGGCGATGCGGTGAGTCTCGCCGCGCCAACACGGGCGAGCGCGACGTGGTCCTGACTGCAACCTTATCACGAAAACAACACAGTCTGGATTTAAAGACACCGAAACAAACAGACAAACAGACACTCGTACGGATCCAGCAGCAGCGGAACAACGACGAGCACAACACAACAAATCTACATTTCAAAACACACATTTACATAAAAAAAAACAATCAGAACCAGTCTAGTGGACTTTAAAAACACAGAGGGACATTTCCTGGTGCTTTAAAATGTCGCGCGTCATGGAGATTATGAGTTTTTTCCATCCTCCTGCTCCTTTAATCTGCAGTAGACGTTGTGATTCTGGTCCAAACACACTTCCTGGTGGTCACACTCACACAGACCTGTTTGTCATGTGTTTGTGTAAAAACAGGAAGCGCCGCCGTTCCACCGGGAGCTCAGAGGAACCTCAGAGGAACCCGTGAGGAACCGGACTTCCTGTGGCTCGGGCTCGTTTCGGTCTGAAGTCAGCGCTCGTGAGAAAATACAAACATCACACCTCTGCTCCTCCTGCTGCACTAACGTCAACTCACTTTTGTCTCGTTAATATTCACAAACGCACACCACAATAATAACTCGTTGTTTTGTACGCGGGAGCAGATTTTTCCCTCGTAGAAAACTTCAAGTGACAGAAACCATGGACAGTGTTTTAAACCTGCTCGATTATGGAAAAAATCACTATCACGACTATTTTGATCAATACTGAAATCACGATTATTCAAACGATTATTTTTTTGTTACATGATGCTTTTATTCAGCATTTCTCTCTCAAAAAAACGCAAAACTTTCAAATTAAAAATAAATATCGGCTACTAATCTGAACCTGAGAGAAGTTTTGCGATAAATAAAACATAAAATTAATTAAAAAAATACTCTGAACATGAAATAAAGGAGAAAAACATAAAAGTGTCCAAAATAAACAATATATCCCGCTGTTCTACAGTCTGGTGTCCTTCTGTATTATTGTAGTTACAGTTCTGTCACCAAACTATAACAGAGACTCTTTATCCACACTTCACTTGTAAATAGTTCATATAGTTTAATGTAAAATGTCTGAAAAATCTGAAAAAAAAAGCTGATTGTCTCAGGGACTATTTTGCCCTGACGAAGACCATCTTGTTGGTCGAAACGTGTTCGCGTCCCTTCGTGTAATAAAAGACTTTTAATATAATAATAATAATATAATTATATTCAGTCGAAGTGTCTCGGGTTTGTACCTTACCCATTTTTAAAATTTTTTCTGTAAGGGTCATGTTCTAAGTCCACTGTCTTAACCCTCGTAGACCTGTACTGTTATTAAAAAAAAAAACTATTTTAAGACCCAGTGAAGCGCTCCAACTCTCTTGCTTTATTTAACTTATTAAAGGTTCATTGTGTTGGATTAGAACAGGGGGTTGGATTCAATAAGTTTTCTTCTTCCCACTTTTTTTGGGGCCAATTTTTTTATTTTTATTAATCATTGCATTTATAAATCGCCTTTCAAGATCCCCAAAGCACTTTACACTTCATTATTCATTCATTCAACACTCAGTGGTGTAAACTATTACTGTAGCCACAGCTGCCCTGGGGCAGACTGACGGAAGTGAGGCTGCCAATCTGCACCATCAGCCCCTCAGACCATCACCATCACTCACACACACTCCACATTCTTACTAGGCAATGTGGGTGAAGTGTCTTGCCCAAGGACACGACAACAGTTTTTACGACTGGTGCCTCCTGTGGCTAATGATTTTCCCAGAGTCTCATCCAAGTCCAGACCCGGACCTGGACCTGGACCAGGACCAGACCTGGACCTGCTGAACTTCTGAGATCTGACGGGATCAGACTTTGACGAGCCAGTGTGGCCATTTATTATTGTTGTTGTTATTTCTGTTATGATTTCATTAAAGTTTTGTGTTCTGTTGTAAAAGAATGTACAATTCTAACTTGCTCAAAATAAATACATTAAAAAAATAATCTCTACATTTAAACAATAAAATAAATAAACTTATTTATGTAAAAATATCCCAAAATAAACTTTATGTTTTAGGATGCACTCACACTTGGACTTAAAGGTTGTATAGAGGATTTTTTAAGGGAAAAGAAATACAGCAACAGTTCTTTTTCAAATGTTGTGCATGTGTGACACCACCTTCCTCCTCCACAGCCTCAGTAGAAACATCTCCTCCCGCCTCTTTACTCTAGAAATCACGTTTGTTTACATCTAGTGCGCGTTCAGAATTACCGTTGAAGTCACTTGTCTAGAAATAATTTAGCGACCAACGTGTCAGTTTTTAGACCCTTCGTCTGCTTCATTCGCGCAATCGCTGAACGAGATCTCCAAGAATCACCTCCGTTTGTCTTCGCTCCTTTTCCCCTTCTCTTCTTCTTTCAGCGACCTCAAAAACAGACTTTCTTTTGCGGCGAACTGCTCGTGGATTCTCGTCCGTCATCGTGACAAACTTTGTGCGAACTGCGAGGAAGCGACAGTTTAAAAAATCCTCTAAGACCCGCTGCATAAACCATGAAATCCCTGTGCGCCGGCAAGTCAATTACACTAAAAACAGAAGGAGTTTGATTGACAACCTAACAGCCAATAGAAAATGAGGGAGCCTCGTTTTCTATTGGCTGATGTTTATCTGGCCTCAACACGTCCACAGTTGATAGATTTTCATTCTTTTTTTTTTTGTGGTCATCATAATTACAAGGCTGCTGCGTCTCTGTAATGGTATTTTAAACTTTCACTGAACTTGAAACTAAAAAAAAAAAGTCCTCCATACAACCTTTAAGAACCATGTCGACTGCAGAACCGGCGCCGTTTGTTTACATGTGGAGCAGAGCGACGATTTAGAGAAAATAAGTCCAGCGGCACAAATATCTGTTAACCATCCACCCTCCCGCCAGCGGGCGATTTTCCCCAAAAAAATTTTCACTCTGTATTTTCACCTTCATTATTGTTTTCACTACTGGCCATACATCGTTGGAAAGCTTAATTTCTCAATAAAACAACCATATCATTCATTTTATGCCGTACAACGAGCCCAAAACGCTATAACTTAAAAATTCACATCATAATCAAAGAATAAAATACGCGTTTTGAGCCGGTTCTGTCGGTCCAAAACGCGTTCAATCCATGAAAAGTTGTACTCAATAAATCCGTAATAATCCACAGAAAAAGAATATCAAGTTGTTTTTCCATAAAATAATTCCATGTGGGGAAATAATCCAAAAAACCCTCGTCCGTATAAATCGATGGATACAATGATATGAAAAAAAAATCTCCTCTCTCCCTCCGTCCACTGCGTTTCTAGCAGGTTTGCTAGCACTGTTGGGTACGCTTGTTTTCCTCACACTCTTAGCTTCAAAATGAGACCCTCCCCGCTGTTGTCGGTGGCGGGGTTTAGGTGGGACAAGCCGCTGAAGAAGCTAACGCACTCACGTACTTCCTGGCTTTACGCACGCGTCATCAGTTTGTTTATGGAAAATCTCTTCAGTCATTGGATCTTCCAGAAAGTGATTGACATATTGTTTTAGCCAATCACCAGAGCTTTCAAACGGTGGGTGGGACATTCAGATTGTATTAGAAACGGACCCTGTGTTTATACGCGTCAGAGAGGGAGTCAGGGAGCAGTGTGGGAGGTGCCATATTGGGCAGATCTGACACTTGGAGGACAATTTTGGCTACTTTTAGTTTTTTTTCTTGAGAAAACATGCCTAAAGCTCAGAAGAATTAGTATTATAATAATAACAATTATTATTATTATTATTATTATTATTATTATTATTATTTTGGCACAAATTCGGCAATCTTGTGCCGAATTGTCATTTTGTTTACACAAAGGCTCACAGCATCAAAACCCTTTGTCCTAAAGATCTGAAATTCTACACAGTTGTTGCCAACAACTTGAACAATGAGTGTAGTGAGTCACAAATGCCTAGTATGAAGTATGACCAAGCTAAGGCCTTTATTTTTTTCAAATTTTTTTTCGAAGCAAAAAAATAAAATTTTCTTTCAATTTTAATTGACTGTACTGTAGGTTAGGCAGCACTCCCAGTCTTCATGTACATATCTACAGAAACTAGAAGGTCTAAGCTTTAAAATGGTGCCTCACACAAGCATGTGGGTTCTAAGGTTTTCTTTTAATAAGCTCGGGCATTTGGGTATGTAGTGCTATTGTGCACACACCAAAATGAGGCGGGTGGTAACAGGTTAAATAATGAGACAGACTGAGTCCTGCTGCGATTCGCTCCTCTGTGAGTTTATGCAGGTCCTCACTTTTCCTGGTCCTCACTTTTACCATGTAAACGTTTTAATTCGATTATATGAGTTTGGAGATCATCACACAAATCGAAAATTAGTTGAGTTACAGTGTTGAAAACGGGACCAGGACTGAGATTGTTTTAGTCCTGGTTTAGTCCTGGTTTAGTCTGTTAATCGTTTTTTCCATTTTTCATTTAAACACAAAATCGAAAACAAAAAAAAACAACGAATCATTATTTGTTTTTTCATTTTCTTATTTTTAGTTTTACTTTGAAAAACGAATGAACGAACGACACACGGATTTAGGACTAGAGGCTGTTTGTGGATCTGTCTGGATTTGAGGATTTCACGAGAAGAATGTCTCAAAAATACGTTGTGAATTTGTGTAATCGTTGATCCACAAACGCAAATCACATTTTCAGTTTCAAAGATGAATTTACAAATCCACGTCTGTTGGAAAAGACCAAAATACGAGTTACAAATGTGAAGTTTTAGATGCATCTGTGGATCAAAACACACGAACAAACCAATGACTTTTTGTAAATTTGGGAATATTAACGAGACAAAAATAACGGCGTAAACACTAAAGTCGTGTGTGGAGGAGAAAGACGAGAAGAGAAGGTGGAGAAAAAGAAGAGAGGAGGAGAAGGAAGAGGAAGAGAGGAAGCGTAATGTCTGGACACTCAGACACATGAGCTCATTCCAAAGCTCTTTGTTTCTCTCTTTCCACACTCTCATCTTCTCCTTCTCTCTGTCACTTCTTTCTTTTTTCTCTCCTTCTGT